AGACAGAGCCGGCAATCTTAGCAAAATTGTCCAAGGCTGCGGTTGTTTGAATGTCTTGGGTATGGCGGACACGAGATGTGAGCAACACCTGGGGCAGCCTCAGGTGTTGTAGATGGCTTGTCTTAGAGGTGGAGGGGAGTGGGGGGACGTGGATTGTTGTGAGGGGGAAATGAGGGGTGGATGTGCGGGTATGAGGGGTGGATGTGCGGGTATGAGGGGTGGATGTGAGGGTATGAGGGGTGGATGTGCGGGTATGAGGGGTGGATGTGCGGGTATGAGGGGTGGATGTGCGGGTATGAGGGGTGGATGTGAGGGTATGAGGGGTGGATATGCGGGTATGAGGGGGTGGGATGGCTCCAGGAAGTCGAAGATGAGGCAAGGCTGAAAATAAGAGGAAGGGTGGAAAGGGACGGTGAAACAGAGACAGGAATTGAGAAAGAGTTAAAAGAAAGAGAGATGTCAGAAGTTGGAGGAAGAGTGCAAAGGATAAGGGGATGACAAGGAGGAAAAATGAGGAATGGAAAGGAAGAAAATGAGAAATGAAGTCCAAGAGATAAGTATGGAAGAGAATAAAGAAGAGGATGAAAGGGAGAATGCAAGAAAGGGGGAAAGGAATAGGGGAGGAAGGGAGAAAGAGGAAAGAAGGAAGGAAGGGGGAGGAAGAAAGGAAGTAAGGAAGGAAAGGATTGAGGATGAAAGACAAGACAGAGCCTAAAGGTAACAACTTACCCTCACAACAAAGCTTACCTATAGGTACCAAGTTACTACACTAACCAGTTACCCAACCTTGTACCACCTGCCTCCCTCCGACCTTAAACACTATCTTCCCCCCCAATTAGTTACATTTGTAACGAAAACGACCAATTCGATAAACAAAATTGGTCACGTTTTAGACAAAATTAAAGCACCTTAATATTGACGTTTTCTATGCATCTGCTTCAGTAGGTTAGGTGGGTTGCCTGGGTTAGGGTAGCACTTAGTATTTTGTATGTGGTGATGAGAGACATCCTGGCTACCAGTTCATGCAGCCTGGCCTCATAAACACGGCCCAAATGATCGTTAACCCAACATAGAGATATAAAAAAGGAAGGGAGAGGGAAAGAAAAGAGGGAGCTAGAGACAGAGCGATAAAAAAAAAGGGATAGAAACAAAGGAAGAAAGACAAGAAACTGGAGTAGACTTGGATGTAAGTAAACAAACTGTGAGGCGAAGACGAAGGATGAAAATATAAATCATGAATTTCATAAACATCAAAATTAAAACACACAAGACAAAAATTAATGAACTGGTGATTTGTACGGATTAATTGGCTAGATTAGGGAACACCAAGGCCATTTATCACGTGTAGAAGCTGCGTGCGTGTGTGTGTGTATGTAAGGGGGGGGGGTAACAAGCTGGGGAGAATCCTATGATTAGACTGGATTGTTCTGTTTTGGTTCCCTGCACCTCGCTTTCTTTGCCAGACATTACCTTGAGAATGTTTCTTCCGATAATTGTTAAACTTAGAATATTATATATAGCCAAAATGCAGAGCATCTTATTGATATTGGGATGTGTGGCTCCTTTGTGGCTATTTTGGGTCTTCTGTATCTGGGGACTTTGGACTGCAACGCGTTCGACAGTAGGCCTATCAGGCGATGTTTTGGGTCTTCTGTATCTCAAGATATCTATCTTGAGATGATTTCGGGGCTTAGCGTCCCCGCGGCCCGGTCCCCGACCAGGCCTCCTTTTTGTTTCACATCCCCGAGAAGCATCCCGTAGCAGCTGTCTTAACTCCCAGGTACCTATTTACTGCTAGATGAACAGGGAGCATCAGGGTGAAAGAAAATTTGCCCATTTGTTTCCGCCTCCACCGGGGATCGAACCCAGAACCTCAGGACTACGAATCCGAAGCGCTGTCTACTCAGCTGCCAGACCCTTGGAGAGCAACGCGTTCTACAGTAGGCCTACCAGGCGATGTACTAGACAGCCTGACGTAAGATTGTAGAATAAAAACGTATTTGATAACGTCAGTTTTCTTATATTCAAGTTATTTTTTCTACTGAGGTCTAGTAATAATGATCGTAAATGGATGAATATGGGATTAGAGACTCTTAATGGAAATAATAGATATTATATGTAAGCGAATAGAAGAAGGGATATATTTTATATATAAAATTAGTATTATTAAACTAACAAGAATTAATTCGAAAGAAATAAGGAAATTTAAAAGAAAATATAAAGTAAGGGAAGACTTAGGGACTCAAAGTTAATCCCAAATGGTTTCTCCAGATGAACTAAAGAAAGAGAAAGATCTCAACCATTGAAACAAGTATCAGGATATCTTAACAAATAATAGTAACAAATATGTGATTTTAATGGATATTTTATTACGGTCTTTTCTGTGTCCATCCATTTAGACTAGTTGATAAATGACAGCCTCGCTTCTTGCAGGGTCGACGCTCGATCCCCGATGGTCCAAGTGGTTGGGCATCGATCCTTCACTCCGTCCTCATATAAGCAGCTAATCATCATACTCCCATACTCCTGATAATTATATTACTTTACTAGAGAATAAGATAAAACAAATCTTATAAGCACATTTGAATAAATGAGCACATTTAATAAACTAACAGTTTCTGGATAACTAATTAGTAAAATAATTGCAAACCTAAAATCAAAGAAGTATAAGGACCTAAAACCTAAAAAAGGGATGAATAAGGGTTTACAATGTAGCCAAAGAGGTTCCAGGATTCATACCCAGAATGGCTAGTAATAAAATCTTTAATGTTATCCTTAAGCTTTATCTTGCCCATGTGAGACCCCATTTGGGATGTGCAGTACCCTCTTGGGCAGTGTGCAGATTGGGTGGAACTTGTCTGGAGATTGGGCGGAGGAGGATGGCCAAGTCACTGCCGCACATTAGAGATCCTCTTTAAGAAAAGAGATAATGCAACGCAGTCATAATCTACACTCAGCTCTTCACCCAAATTGAGGCGTAGAGCAAGAGGAGAAAAGTCTGAAGTGTGAAAATAAATCAGTAAGCTTAATAAGGGAGTGTAAACAGGGTTCTGTTTACCCCCCCTTGCACTATTTACACCCCTTGTTTACACCTGAAGAAGGTGAATAGCATTTTCAGGTAGGGACAGTTCACGCAGGATGGAAGTGAGTCCGGTGAGTCGATTAAGGCAGCGTCTGGGATGCTCTCGGACGCAGGTTCGAATCCTCGTCACGGCCATTGTGGATTTGTTCAACAGGGTTCTATACACATCAGTGAAATTTACAACATGAAACAATGGATATAGTTTAAATAAATTTTGATTAAGAAACTACATGGTACAAATTTAATGTAGGAGATATGATCCCAACATATAATATACTGATGGGAATAGTGAAGGTGGATAAGGACAAACTCTTTATATTTGAGAGAAAGTAGGACAAGAAAACATACGTGGAAGCTGGAAACTCAATTGAGCTGCAGAAATGTGAGGAAATACTCGTTCCCTATACGGGTGGTCAACAAGTGAACTGCACCTAAAGAAGTTATAAAAACCACCTCCAGCCACAGCTTTAAGGCCAGATTCAACAAAGAATTCGGAAGTTAGAATAGTTAGACTAGGACAAGACAATCTACTTGAAAATGGTCCAGGACGGACCGAAACGTCGTCGTCCCTTCACCTTCTTGTGTGTGATCTGGTCAAAATAGTTAAACTAAATCGCAATACTGTACATACAAGGGAAGGCTAGAAAGCGGGGAACAAAGATCTAGACCTTACCTTCCCGCTAGACACAGTGAGGAAAGTAATCTTGGAGGACACGAAGATTCGTAAACCCCCAAGAGATGGGGGAGATTCACTCCCCCATCTGTCCTGACAAGCCGCCTAACCCACCAGTGCAACTTAACAAAGAGGGTTAAAAATGTTAAACAATTATCATAAGTCTTAGTAACATCTCTCTTGTATTGATAAGAGAGGAAGCTAAAGAGGTGAGCACGAGGTTGAAGGTTGACATGCACATCTGGTCGTGTGTGATGGACAAGCTCCAACACTTAAGCTGGCGTCGTTAGTCAGGATTTTCTCAGCTGATGCTGGGATGAACAGTTAATGAAATTTGATCTGAGGACGTTTCTCACGCCTTAAGTGTTTGGGCGCTTTACACTTCCAGGAAGAAAGTGAATAGCAGGCAGGCGATGAGTCACAATAACGTGGCTAAAGTATGTTCACCAGATCACACACTAGAAGGTGAAGGGACGACGTTTCGGTCTGTCCTGGACCATTCTCAAGTCGATTGTGAATGGTCCAGGACGGACCGAAACGTCGTCGTCCCTTCACTTTCTAGTGTGTGATCTGGTCAACAAAGTGAATAGCATTACGAGGTAGGGACTGTTTACCCAGGATGGAAGTGAGTCTGGCTAGCCCCGTCCCTCCCCTTACCCTCTTTCTTATCTCCTCCCTTCCCTTGTCTCTCCTTCCTCCTATCTCTTTTTTCCCTCCCCTTGTCTCTCCTCCCTCACATCTCTCTCTCTATTCCCTCACCTCTCTCTGCCTCCCTTACCTATCTCCTTCGTCACCTTTCTCCTCCCTCTCCCATCAATGCTACCTCACCTCATCTTCCTCATATCTTCTCCTTCCCCTCTCTTTTATGCCTCACTTCTCCGTTACTGCTCCTCCCACGCCACTATCTCTCACCCCTCCCCTTTATATTCCTCTCTTCTCTCACATTTCCCTTCGTCCTCCCCTTTCCTTCTCCCTCTCCCTTGCCTCTACCACTACTCTTCTCCGGCTTTTGACCCGGTTCGCTATTCCACAGTACAAGTACCTCTGAGAGGTTATACCATCTCCTGATGTTGTTTTGACTAAATGTAAACTCTGTCAGCAGAACTACTCACACACTTTGCGTCACTACATAATGGTATGTGAAAAAAATCGCCGAATTTAGAGATGACAGCATCAGTGGTGTCCAGGAAATGTGTAAGTGCTTCATGTGTAAGTACTGTAAGTGCTACAGTACAGTTTACTTACCGTAGGTGCAGCCTGCACATGACTGTAGAGTTGCCGGCCAGTTGGGTGGGTTGGGAGCAGCATTACTAACTGTGTAACTGGCTGACCGTAGATGTAAACTGCTTTGTAAACAAACTGTTGTGAGTCTCTTCTTGATTCACTTGTGATTTAAAAAGATCATTGATATGTATATGTATATGAGCATATATATGTGTGAGTGTGCATGTGAATATATATACATATGTGTATGCATGTATGTGTATGCATGTAAATGTGTATGTAATATTAACAATTATGTAACTAGCTTCACTTGCTTTAGCTAAATGAATATGAGGTGCGTGATAAATAAATGAAATAAATAAATGAAATAAATAAATGAATAAATGTTAATTATCAGCATTTTTGTTTTAATTCCCCTTCTTTGCCTGCTCCAAACACACACACACACACACACACACACACACACACACACACACACACACACACACACACACACACACACACACACACACACACACACAAGCATGGAATATAGACAAGAAAAAATACAATAAAAAAAGGCTTCTCATTTTTATTTGCTTTTCAATTACAAATCCCGATGATCAGCCTCCTTTAGTATGTAATTATTTTTTAATCTCGAGTTAAACCCCGCAAAAGGCTTCGTGGGCGCGGTCCCTCCACCAGCACTCCCTCCACCAGCACACACCCTCCACCAGCACTCCCTCCACCAGCACACACCCTCCACCAGCACTCCCTCCACCAGCACTCCCTCCACTAGCACTCCCTCTACTAGCACTCCCTCCACCAGCACACACCCTCCACCAGCACTCCCTCCACCAGCACACACCCTCCACCAGCACTCCCTCCACCAGCACTCCTTCCACCAGCACACTTCCTCCACCAGCACTCCCTCCACCAGCACACTCCCTCCACCAGCACACTCCCTCCACCAGCACACTCCCTCCACCAGCACTCCCTCCACCAGCACTCCCTCCACTAGCACTCCCTCCACTAGCACTCCCTCCACCAGCACACTCCCTCCACCAGCACTCCCTCCACTAGCACTCCCTCCACCAGCACTCCCTCCACCAGCACACTCCCTCCACCAGCACTCCCTCCACTAGCACTCCCTCCACCAGCACTCCCTCCACCAGCACACTCCCTCCACCAGCACTCCCTCCACTAGCACTCCCTCCACCAGCACACTCCCTCCACCAGCACACTCCCTCCACCAGCACTCCCTCCACCAGCACTCCCTCCACCAGCACTCCCTCCACTAGCACTCCCTCCACCAGCACACTCCCTCCACCAGCACTCCCTCCACTAGCACTCCCTCCACCAGCACTTCCTCCACCAGCACACTCCCTCCACCAGCACACTCCCTCCACCAGCACACTCCCTCCACCAGCACTCCCTCCACCAGCACTCCCTCCACCAGCACACTCCCTCCACCAGCACTCCCTCCACTAGCACTCCCTCCACCAGCACTCCCTCCACCAGCACACTCCCTCCACCAGCACTCCCTCCACTAGCACTCCCTCCACCAGCACACTCCCTCCACCAGCACACTCCCTCCACTAGGACTCCCTCCACCAGCACTCCCTCCACCAGCACACTCCCTCCACCAGCACTCCCTCCACTAGCACTTCCTCCACCAGCACACTCCCTCCACCAGCACACTCCCTCCACTAGCACTCCCTCCACCAGCACACTCCCTCCACCAGCACTGCCTCCACCAGCACTCCCTCCACCACCACCTGTTAGACCTTCTCTCCCCTGCTATGAGACCCTCTCTCCCCCTGCTATGAGACCCTCCCACTCCCTGCTGCCAGGCCGCCCCTGCCCCTAGCGTCACGTGTCCCTGGGAGCGGTCAGAGCAGGGGAGCAGAGATCTCCCAGAGTCGGGAGATATATTCACACTGAACTTTGTTGAGTGATATAGTCATGTATTATGACGGCTTGCCCGGCCGGCGGCCGTAATGTATCAGTCATTGAAACAAGTCTGCCTGATGCAGGTTGTTGTTATTGTTATAGATTCAGCTACTCGGAACAAGTTCCAAGTAGCACGGGCTAAGGTGAGCCCGCAGTGGACTTACCCACCACAGGAGTAGGTCTCTGAGGCAGGTGTTTAAAATGCCACCGACGAGTGTAATTGAGTCCCTCGTGCTCCTCCAGCTCCTTAGACTTTTCTTTTAGAAGTCGTCAAGTTTTCTTGCTGTGTTTAAGCTCCTCGACTGTCAGATTCACTCACACGCACTCTGATTTTAGTTTGTCTAGGTACTGCTTACTTTTGGATGCTTCCAGATGCTTCTCTATGTATCTCTGCCTTTTCTTCCTCCTCCTCCTCCTCCTCCTCCTCGTCCTTTTGTTTCTCATTCTCTTCATCATTCTCTTCCCATTTTCGCGGCCTTCCAGACGTCCCAAATGATGTATAATACAT